CTCTATCTCTATCTCTATCTCTATCTCTATCTCTATCTCTATCTCTATCTCTATCCCTCCATCTCTGTCTCTCTCTCTCTCTCTCTGTCTCGATTCATCTCTCTGCTGTTTAAATAGTGTTCTTTCAAAGCTAGGCAGGAAATGTGGGAAATGTAATTACCGTTGCCGCCAATGACCTGAAGATCGGGATAGGTCTCCTTGATGAACTTGATCATCTCGACTTGGTAAATGGAATTGCCCTGGGATGAGTCCAGCACGATGACATCGACACCGTTCGCGACGAGCAGATGCAGCCGGGCCTTGTCCTCCGGCCGGGTGCCAATGGCAGCGCCCACCAGCAGCTGCTTGTTGGAATCCTTGGAGGCATTCGGATACGATCGAGCCTTCTTCAGATCGGTGCGCGCTATCATGGCGACCAGTTCGCCGGCCTGATTCACAATGGGCAGCTTGCCCTTTTTGCTCTTCTCCAGAATGGCGTTCGCCATCGGCAGGGTGATGCCGTTGGGTGCGGTTATCAGCTGTGTGGTCATAATGTCCGCCAGCAGTACGTCCGGCTGTTGTTCACGGAAGTCGATGTCTCGCGACGTGACCATGCCCAGCAGCTTGCCGCCCAGCTTGCCGTTCTCGGTGACGGGGTAGCCGGTGAAGCCATTCTTGCGACGGGCCTCGAGCACATCGCCAACGGTATTGGTCGGCGACATCACCGACGGATCGCGCATAAAGCCATGTTTGTATTTCTTAACCTTGTGCACCTCCAACGCTTGGTACTCCGGCGTGCAGTTGTGATGGATGATTCCAATGCCACCACACAGCTGCGCGTGGTTCCCCCACCACAAAATCATTCCGAACGAGGCGGCGCAGAGCGTGAAGGGAAATATACATTCGTTTTTTTTTTTTTTTTTATTTTAGCATAATAGAGGCGCATAAGAGTGTTCAATTACAACCACAACTGGAGCGAGGCCGATACCAAGATTCAGCACCAAATGGCGATGTGCATCGGTCGGCGTTCGTCGGTTTATCGGTTATCGTTCATAGTGTCAATCGATCATACCGCCAATGGAGGACAGTATGCGAACAAGGCTGCAAACCGAACGAGCGCTTACAGCAGTATTAATTGGGTTAACATAGTGTTAACATTAGCCGAACAGACTGATGAAACACGTCAACAACAACATTAATTAGGTTAACATAGTGTTAACATTAGCTGATCCTAACTGCGAGTCTTAACAAACAGATATGTTAACAAAATCAAACGACAAGAATTTCAATGTTAAGTAAAAGTCAACTTCTGTTAGGTAAATCAGCTTCCATAGTCTGGCTTATATAGGAATATATAGGAATTTATAGATAGCTTAAAGCTGCTGTTGCTGGCTTTGATTTGACAGAATGTTTACATGCCAGTGACAGTGGAGTGTTAACAGCAACTTAACAGTAAAAATAACAGATTGACATTTACTTAAGTAAATGTAAAATTGAACAAGAATGAATGCTAAAATGTAATCTAATATATCGTGAGAAATAACGGCATTGATGTTTTGACTAGAGGCAAAAAGCTGACGTGGGAATAAATTGCACCGATTTGCAGCCTTGTTTAGCAATATATGTGTGTGTGTGTGTGTGATGTGACTGTGTATAAATTTAAGATAAAACTGTAATTAAACACTTACCGCCATGGCTATAGCCATATCAGATTCGGTTACCGTGTCCATGGGGGAGCTAACTAATGGGGCACAGAGCGTGATGCCCTTCGTCAGTGGGGAGCTGAGATCGACCGACTCGGCGGCAAAGTCTATGTAGCCCGGTAATATGAGAAAATCACTAAATGCAGCGTGCGGAGTGTAACATTAGCATATGATTAGGACATATAGTTAATATATATATATATATATACATATATATACAAACATACATACAGCGTGTAGCCTCGATGTATGAGTGTATTGGGGGGGAAGCAGACTTACTTGTAGGTGAGACCTTCACCATTTTTAAATAGTTCAGTGCAGCTCAGTCCGTCCTGCAGTAGTTCCTCTGCCTCTGCCTCTGCTGCAGTTGTTGTTGTTGTCGTTGTTATTGTTGTTGCAGTTGCATCGCCGCCGCCTATTAAGCCATTAACTTTTGGCTTCAGATTGGCGCCGACGTCAACGTCGGCGGCTGCGCTGTCGTTCGCCATGCGAGCGTTTACCTTAGACAATCGTCGGGCAACAACAACAAGAAACAATTATAAATTAGTCGAGGAAAGCAACAACCGCTTTAAGTGCCTATATAAACCGTCTTTATTTCTATTTGTTTGCATATACATATACACACATATGCGTATATATGTATGTGTGTGTGTGTGTGTTAATAGTCTCCTTTTAGGCTGATTGTAGCTGTTGCCGAGCCGCCGCAATTTATTTTCAAATCAATTCAATTCCGATTGACAATCAAAGCGTTCCTAAAACCATAAAGATAGAATTGTATTAAAGCAAGCAATCAAAATTGTTTTTAAACATTGCAAACGGCCTCATCCACTTGCAAAAAAAAAAATAAAAATAAATAAACAAAAATAGAGCGAAATCTCAAGTCGACTACTAAATGCGCTTACAAACAATTTATAAATTAAATAAAACTGTTTTGAAAAAGAAACAAAAATATATATATGTATTTAAAAAAAATATTCATATTCATTCAATTGGATTTCTTTTAATTTTACTGTTTAACTAACAAAATTACACTGATTGGCACAGAACAGTTTAAAAATTGGACATTGCTGCACATATGCATGTAGATTTTATGCTTTAAGCGTTGCAGATGGCCAGACAAGCCAACAAGCGAATAGATAGAGGAGGATATTACGTTGTATAGCATCGACACAATATTCTGTATATAACTATTGTGTTTAAGGATTAGGTTTAGCGCGTAAATTCAATGGTCAGCAGAACGCGGACGGAACCTGTTAAAAACTGCGTGGTTGTCGTTTAAATCGGAGCACGTGTTTTTTATATTTACCCGTCCAGCCGCTATTCCAACCGAGAGCGTCGAAATATTGCCTTTGATTGCTTTTTCAATGAGAGATGACAAATAATATGCAAATATATCGATAGTCCATGTAACAGCTGCTCGATATATCACCTAGCTTGTAAATACGGCAATTGGATAAATAAGTACGTTTTGATAAATTGAAACAAAATAAATAAGATTTTATGAAAAAACTTAGTTACTAGCAACATTTTAAGCATGAACACACCAAATATATTTTCTTAATTGCTCTTCAAACAAAAATATTCAAAATATGCAAATTGTATACCAGCTGTGTGTGTTGTAGGCGCAAGCTGTTCAATTTGACTATGAATACTTAAATGTAAATATACTATATGCTTTCGATCTTTATGGAATATGTAGCAATTCAAATAAATGTCAAGTTAGGAAACAACGAATCTTGTATATTTTCTAAAATTTAAATCAAACATTGCCATAAATAATACAAAAAATTGGGCACACTGTCGATCAGCTGTTTTGCTTTATAGGGAATAATGTATAAACTGTGAACTCAGTTAAGCGAAGACACAAACCACAAGCAAAGCTTAACTGAATTCGCTGTAACGCGTATTAACAGTATGTAAATACAGCTTAAGGGCAGTGCGCGCATTTTAAATATATGTACTGCAATTGATTATATGATGTTTATTAACGAATGAACACATTTGATATCGTATTATGACAATAGTGACCAACTAAACTGGCCAACTAACTGGCTATGACAATTTACAGTTGAACTGACAACTCGTCTATATAAGCGCCATGTTATCAAGGGACTGTAATAATAGCCTCTGCTGTTATCCAGTTCCATGTTGCATACTTTTAAGCGCGCCGTGCCTGCCGTCGGCCTCCCGGTACAGCGAACAGTCGGTTCGGTCCGGTCCGACTGGATGAATGAAACGAAGCGCATGAAACGAAACAAGAAAACGAACAAATTTCTCTCTCATTCTTAAAATTTCACTCGCCGCGAGCTGTTGTCGTTCGCGCCCGGATAACGACGATATTTCAAAGTTGGTTTTTTGTTGTAATTTTTTTTTATTGTTTGTTTTGCTCATGCGAGTAACGTATTTTGTTGCAAACATGTAAATTTGAAAGCGATTAACAAAGTGGCAGCATTAAGTGCAAAAGTATCTGTGTGCCTCTCTCTCACACTATCGCTCTATCGCAGTGTGTGTGTGTGTGTGTGTTTAGTTAGTGCCTTTTGACAAGTGCAGCGAAATAGGCGCCAATGCGTCAACAAGGACGCTGCCGGCAACGACATTGCAACTCCATTTATTGTTGCTGACCAACTTCCTTTGACCTCAGCTCCCTTTCCCTCCCCCTTACCCATTTCTTCACATCTCCCTTTCACGTTCCTTTACAACGGCAACAACAAATTGATCGCAATGTAAATTCATTCATTGTCTTTTTTTTTGATGTGTTTTGTTTCTGTTTGCAGATAATTACATACATATATGTAACATATATACCAAATATATATATATATACAAATATTTTTGTGTCGTGACAAATTGAAAATGTGACAAAACCATTACAAAGAAATGATTCCAAGTGCGAGCGAGTCAGCAATAAGCGCCTAAATATAAGCCTAGGATAAAGTTAAGAATTCAATTATATGCATATACATATATAGCTATATTTATACTATATGTATGTATATCTATATTACTATATATACACATATATATGTCTGTTTGAATCGGAGTTAACAGCGAGATACCCCGCTATGTGTTCAAAACCCCGCCCGACCGTTCCACACTAAAGTGCAACAAAAAAGAAAAAAAATAATAATAAAAACAAGAGAAAAAGTTAATTAATAATGCGCTGATATTCATCAATATATACATACGTGCAATTATTTAATAAGCATCAATAACAACAACAAAACAACGGCTTCTTCTTGAATCAAAAAAAATAAAATAAAAAGAGTCGCAAAAGCTAAAGTTAAAACTTAAGGGAACATCGACAGCAACATCAACTACAACAACAGCTACTGTTAAGTTAAAAGCCAGGCTTAACTGTTAAAGCTCCGCAGGCAGAGCATGGATTACGCCTTCAACATAGCATTAGCAGCAGCCGCAGCTACAGCCGCCGCGCTTCAGCCAAAGCTAACAATTAGAGCACATTAAATGAATGCCATTCGGCTACAAAAATGCCGCCGCTGCAAGGACGTCGACAGTTGATGTGAGTATAAATGTTTGATAAGTGCAATGCCTATTTAGCCTAAGACAGCTCCAAAGGTGGTTCAATGCAGCTGTGGGGCGGGACAGAGTGTCAAAGATAGGGTCAGTTAAAGCACATGTTAAGCGCGCACGGCCCTTAGTTCGTTGGCCTGGCCGATATCTGACGCGCTCTCTGTTTATGAATGAAACGCAACGAGGAAGCAATGAACCAGCAGTTAAGAGAGCCGCCAAGTGCCAGAAGAGCGAAGCACAGCAAAAGAAAAAGAGAGCGAGAGAGAGCGTAGCAGAGCGCAATGCGGAACGCAATATGCACACACACAAACACGCTAGTAGGTATGTGTGAGTGAAAGAGCAAACGCCAGGCATACTGGCACGGCATGAGTTCATTGACCTTTGCTATTGAAATTTTTGGGCAACGAAACAAACACACACACACACACGCACACAGGCATGAGCAAAGACGCTTTTATTTACACATTGATAAACAATCGACTGTTGACTCTCGGAGCTGCTGTGATTGTTGTTGTTGTTGTTGCTGTTGCGGTTGCTGTGCTGTGTTGCTGTTTTTTGTATGCTCTTTCGCTTCAGCTGTGATTGCAATTATGCACGTGCGTGCGTGTGTGTGTGTGTGTGTGTATGTGTGTGCAGTGCAATGTGATGCAATTTGACACAGATTGAGATAGCGATCTAACCCTTTGCTGATATTCAGCGCATTCAGTTAAATGTGCACTTGCAGATATGTAACTTTAGCCGAAGACACAATTTAAAAAAAAACATTTAAAAAAATATATATTTACATATTTAAAAGCTTTTTGATTGATTGCCTTCAAGACAGAGCATTCACCAGTCGTTCAACTTGGGCAACTCACAATTCTTTTTCCTGATTGCTTAGTGTGTGCGTGTGTGTGTGTGTGTGTGTGTGTGCGTCAGAGAGAGTAGCGGGTGGGTTAGCGAACGCATCGATAACAAAGTGCTGTGAAACGTTTTGCGCTGCCCAACAGAAACAGCGCGTGAACGAGAGGGAGAGGGAGACAGTATGTGTGTGTGTGTGTGTGTGATAGAGATAGATGTAGCATGAGCATTAAACAGCGTATTTCGCTAGCTTTTTTTTTTTCCTTTTAAATTTGTTGTTGTATATATTCAAGTTGAGTTGAAGTTAATTGAATTGGACTTGGTAACAGTTCAGTGTAATTACTGAAAATATAGTGACAAGGGCAAACAACAAACACACACACGCATACGCGTATGTATGTAGATATGGAAAATAAGCATAACTATTAGTTAGTGTAAGATCGGTGGGAATTAGGGAAACCGAGGAAAGGCAAATCTATGGCTAGTTGTAAGCCTGATAACAGCGAAATTAAAGGGATTCAGAGACATGTTAATAACTATACATTATTATACATATGTACATATGTATGTAATCGTATGTACATACGTACATACATCAATTTATTATGATATATACATACATATGATATATACATATATGTATATATACATATACATATATTCTATTTGATTGGATATATAATTTTTTCTTGATCACTTCCATAATTTTTACTCTGCCGAGCTTATAAAATCATGAGAATAGTGACAAAATTATATTTGTGTAAAATATAATGAATATACACATACATATGTACATATATGTACTCTATTTTATTTCGCATTATAAAAAGAAATATTCGTTTTTTTCTCGAGATAACTAAAAATATTTCCATCATTTATCCATTGGCACTTTAAGTACGGTCTTTTGGCAGAGTATTCACTGTACAACAGTGTTCATGAATTTACTATGAATCCGAAGGTTAGATCAAATAATTTAGTTATATAAGCTTGGTATTTTTTATTACCCTCTATATGTATTTTCTGTTTCAAATAAACTTAATGAATAAAATTGAATGTTTCATGGAAATAGAAGTGGCTTCTGAAGAAATAGAAAATAACTAGTTATATGTAGTTTGCGTTGGAGTCAAATAGTTTATTGTAAATCCCTTTATGATTAGGCCTGGAATTCGATTCACAAAATATTTAGTCTAAAAGTTGCTCCAGATTAGTAGATAGTACCATATGATTCTGATTGGATCACTTTGATCTATCCTGCAAAAGTTGCTTGAGAATATGCATGCGCTTGATTAAACCAAATGCAAAACTCCCAATTGTCAAATAAATATAAAATTTACAGGAGAAACAAAGCTTTCAGGGGATTATATAGACATACATACATACA